TCTGCCTCAAGCCCACCAGCCATTCTCAACAAACAGAGACTGAGTCTAATATGAAAGCAGAGAAGATCGAGGTATTATAGAACAAGCCTTTGCATGGAAGGTTCTAACAAGAGCCTCGACAGGCCATTTGTCAAGCAAGACTGAAGCGTTGCCTGGCTGAGTAGTTCGCGGCTCAAGGGGGACAGAAAGCCTGATCATTGCCAGCCAAGACGCAAGCATCAACACCAGATACACATCAACGCACATCCTTAAGCAACCGGTCAACAGCAGGTGGCAGAATGTGCAGCAAGGCAGAGGAGACCATCAGGCCACATCATCGCTGGCCCCAACCGAGTACATAGACGCCATAACAAGGTAGCCAGCTATCTGCACTGGCCAATCTGCCAATCCTATGTGCTAGGTTGGGCAACGGTCAACCCAGAAGCCACCGGCTAATGCTGTGATCCACTTTGGAAATAATAATAATAATAATACCTATATATACGTAAATGCACACACGCATGCATGACGATATATATATATATATATATATCGTCATGCATGCGTGTGTGCATTTACGTATATATAGGTATTCGAGGTATATATATATTATATTATATTCGATATTATATAGGTATATATATATAGCAATAAGGAAATTGACGTATAGTAAAGGGATACTCCCCAGTAGATGGTAATTGTAGAGACGGCAATCGTAATCTACATGCAGTAATACATTTGGATCAACCGAATGACGCTAATCGTTGTTAACCGGGTGTAAAAACACAGTATGATTTATGCGGCAGATTACCAGCTAGGATGGTAGTATTGCAAGCATTGATGATTTATGGATGGATGGATGGATGGATGGATGGATGGATGGATGGATGGATGGATGGATGGATGGATGGATGGATAGACGACCGGACGGACACGGACGGACGGACGGACGGACGGACGGACGGACGGACGGACGGACGGAGGGGGACGGACGGACGGACGGACGGACGGACGGACGGACGGACGGACGGACGGACGACGGACGGACGACGGACGGACGGACGGACGGACTGAGCGGACGACGGACGGACGTACGGACGGACGGACGGACGGACGGACGGACGGACGGACGGACGGACGACGGACGGACGGACGGACGGACGGACGGATTGATGGATGGATGGATGGATGGATGGATGGATGATGGCATGGATGGATGGATGGATGATGGATGGATGGATGGATGGATGATGGATGGATGGATGGATGGATGGATGGATGGATGGAATGGATGGATGGATGAATGGATGGATGGATGGATGGATGGATGAATGGATGGATGGATGGATGGATGGATGGATGGATGGATGGATGGATGGATGGATGGATGGATGAATGGATGGATGGAGGATGGATGGATGGAATGGATGGATGGTTGGATGGATGATGGATGGATGGATGGATGGATGGATGGATGATGGATGGATGGATGGATGATGGATGGATAGATGGATGGATGGATGGATGGATGATGGATGGATGATGGATGGATCGATCGATCGATGGACGGACGGACGGATGGACGGACGAACGGACGGATGGACGGACGGACAGACGGACGGACGGACGGGCGGGCGGTCGGGCGAACGGACGGACGGGCGGACGGGCGGATGGATGGATAGATGGAGGAATGGGTGGAGAAATAGATGGATGGATGGATGGATAGATGAATGGATGGATAAATGCATGCATGGATTGATGTATATATGGATGGATAAACAAGTAAGTAACGTAGCTCTTCTCGGAGCTATCAGCTGACAGTATGCAGGAAACTACGATAATGAAGGTAGGAACCACAAAGCGTACGCTGGATGTGAATAGAACAAATTAATATAATTATATTGTCTTACCACAATTGGTATTTTGCGTGCATCTACACGTGTACACCCCAGTTGGCATGTTATTGTCCATGCACATCTGATTCATGGTATCCCCTCGTTCACAGTTAGGTAGTGGGTCTCCTGCATTGGGGAATCCAGCTGGGATCACAGCGTCACACGGATCTGGTGCTAAAACAAAAGGTGAAGCGATATATTATAAGGAGTCTATCAATACCGTGCATAATCAAATGCACCGTGTACAAGGAGATGAAAGGATTTTGATGTATGGGCAATCATTTAGTTTCATAGATAGTCAATAAAACATTTTATCTGAGATATTTATGCTGAAATCAAATTTAGTACATTATTGTGTCATTAATAAGTGATAGTGACTATACGCATGCGCATGTGTATACTCTCATGCATGCTATACTCACACACGATTTATACATGTGCATCATATATATATATAAATATATTATATATTATATGTATTATATATATATATATATATATATATATATATATATATATATATATATATGCATGCTATACGTGATACAACTCTACGATTCTACGATGCCGGAGCGGAGAAAATAACAACTTTTCCCAGTACAATACATGTATGAAGCTATTTCTGACATATATTAAGCACATGAAGACCAAAAAGTCCAGCGTAGAAACACTCAAGGCGAACGGTACCATATTTAATACAGCAAAGGAAAAGGCAGATGCACTTAACAGACAATTCAAATCTGTATTCACATAAGATTCGGAAGAACTCCAAGATACACAGTCATACTACCCTTCTATGGATGACATTGAAATTACAGACAATAGAATCAACAAACTTGTCAAACTTAAATTTAGACTTAAATAAAGTCAGTCTTCAAGAACAAATTCTGCGACTACGTCGTCTTTACTCCTTGCTACAATCAGCTACCTTTTGCTAACTCGACGCTTCTACGATGCCGGAGCGGAGATAAACAACTTTACAACTCTGCGATTCTACGATGCCGGAGCAGAGAAAATAACTACTTTTCCCAGTACAATACATGTATGAAGCGATTTCTGACATATATTAAGCACATGAAGATCGAAAAGTCCAGCGTAGAAACACTCGAGACGAACGGTACCATGTTTAATACAGCAAAGGAAAAGGCAGATGCACTTAACAGACAACTTCAAAATACACAGTCATACTACCCTTCTATGGATGACATTGAAATTACAAACAATGGAATCAACAAACTTGTCAAACTTATCAAACTTATCAAAGTTCACAAAGCACCTTGGCCAGATAACATCAACTCTCTGCTTATTGTTGGTGATCTTATGGATCATCTTCAGGAAATCATATCAGACAGGAGTTATACCATCAGTTTTGAAGAAAGCCAATGTTGTCCCCATCTATAAGAAAGGAAAGAAGAATGATCCAGGTAACTATGCCGTCCCATATCACTAACTTGTATCACCTGCAGACTCATGGAACATATATATATATCATCTGCGCCAACATCATGAAGCACGGGAAGTCTAATGCTATTCTATTCGACAAACCGCATGGTTTCAGAGATGAACGGTCATGCGAAACTCAACTTGTTGAGTTTGTCACTGAAGTCACCAACAATATGCATGCAGGAAAGCAGACGGACGTCATAGTTTTAGACTTCAGCAAGGCATTTTTGTGGGCCATCATGATGGATAAGGTGAGCCATCAGAAGCTACTCCACAAGCTAAAGAGTTACGGCATCGATGGACGACTAATAAATGGATCAGGGGCTTTTTAGAAGACAGAACACAAGTTGTCGTACTTGATGGAGAAGTAACATATGTAGCAAATGTTACATCAGGCGTCCCACAATAAGGATCAGTTCTTGAATCGAGCCTGGTCCTGGCAAGCGTGGGTAGATTAGAGGTTCTATATTCACGTCTAGATGCCAAACTGGAAAACATTGAAACTAGACTGAACTCCCAGGACACGAACGTATGCAATATATTAAGGTAGCAGTTTGAAGAAATGATGGATAAAAAAATAGATGAGAGGGAGGAAAGGAGACGAAGAGAGTCAACTATCTTTTTCTTCAATTTGGAAGAATCTAAGGCAGATTCCGAATCAACAAGGCAAGCACACGATGAGAAATTATTCACCGAAATCTGCGTCAATGTGCTCAATGTATCTGCCCCGGTAGTGGAGGAATACAGACGATTAGGTAAGCAAGGTGACAAACCTAGACCACTGCGTGCTACCATTCCAGACAGAGAGACGCACTATAGCATGTTGCGGAACGCTAACCTACTAAGAGGCTCTGTCTTTGACAAAATTCGATTAGACGAGATTATACAGAGAAACAGCGAGCAGCATACAGGAACTTGCGCAAAGACTTGCAAGACTAGAGAGCCTCTGATCCAGATGGGAACTATGTCATTAGAAGAGGCAACGTGATAAAACTCCCACACCCCAAGGCTGACAAGTGGGGCCAGCCCTTTCGTTAACGACTCACAAAAGAAGAACCATAACAATATATATAATTTCAACTCACAAGTTCAGACTAACCAGCACAAGTTGAAAGTTATGTTTACAAATGTTGATTGTTTGACTAATAAACACGCGGAATTGATGGTACTTGCGCATACTACTACATACTACTACTACACGCGTATGTGGTGCTTGAGCATACTACTACACGCGTATGTGGTACTTGCGCATACTACTACATACTACTACTACACGCGTATGTGGTGCTTGAGCAACCGAAGTTGACAGCTTTGTGTAAGATTTTCCCCAAGAACAGACTACGTTTACAGGACGACTTTGTTTAGACATTGCAAACTACGACAGGATTATGCCAGGCAAGAGCGGTAACAGAGGAGTTGTGATATATGCTCATTGCGATTTACAAGCAGTGCCAGTGGATTAGTTTGATCATCTTAACTTTGAGGAATCGGTATGGTGCAGAGTGAACCTTGATAAGAGTGATAAACTGCTAGTTGGGTGTGTGTATAGAAGCCCGTCTAGTACCACTGCAAATAATGATGTTCTGTGCAAACTTCTAAGCGACGTGAGCAACGCTGGCTATAGCCATTCATTAGTAGTGGGCGATTTCAACTACAAGGAGATATGCTGGGTAGACAGTAGAACGGAAGCTCATGATCAGCATCCAGCATCAGTGTTCTACGACAGTGTGCAAGTAATTTCTTGTACCAACAGGTGAGTGAGGAGACTAGATACAGAGGCAACCAGAAGCCAAGCCTACTGGACTTGGTATTCACCAACGAGGAAAACATGATCATCAATTACGATATTGTATACGACCAGCCGCTTGGGAATAGTGATCACTGTATCCTATTGTTTGACTTCAACTGTTATTTAAAATCTGGTGAGAACGTGCGAGCTAGATTTAAATATTACAAAGGTGATTATGCTGCTATGAATAGTGATCTCGGACTAATAGACTGGGAACATGTTTTATGTTCTGATGAGGTGGAAGCCAACTGGTCAGCCTTTAGAGTTATTTTGGACAAGGCAATGGAAGCACATATTCCCAAAACAAGGAGCCGAGGGAAAAGTCGTGCTAGACCATTATGGATGAACAAGGATGTGGCAGACGTTGTGGCAGGTAAAAGAAAAGTCTGGTCAAAATACTGGAATTCCAGATCATATAAGGATTATGATGCATACAAATTGTTAAGGAATAAGTGCACAACTGGTGTAAGATTAGCAAAAGCGGATTATGAAAGAAAGATAGCCCTGGAATGCAAGTCGAGCATGAAATCGTTCTGGAAATATGTTAAGTCAATGACAAAAACACGTTCTGGTGTTACTGACTTGATAAAACCTGATGGAAACATGACTGAGGGAGAACAAGAAAAGGTTGATGTGCTCAACGAATTTTTTAGTGATGTATTCACGATAATACTGATGGCACCATCACATATGAAATCCCAAGGGAGACACCCACGATCAGCACGCTGTTGATTCGAGAGGAAATGATTCGCAAGAAACTGGATAAGATAAAAAACGGACAAATCTCCGGGACCAGATGGTATACACCCAAAAATCCTTTTTGAATGTAGGGAAAATGTCACTACTCCACTAACTATGATCTTTGAGCAGACATTACTAAGAGGTACCATTCCCCAAGACTGGAAAGTTGCTCAAGTATCACCTATCTTCAAAAAGGGCGATAAAAAGCAGCCCGGAAGCTACCGCCCAGTGAGCCTGACTTCAGTGATTTGTAAACTGTGTGAATCTATTGTGAAAGATCACATTATGGAATATATGAACATCAACAACTTTTTTTCACAACAACAGTAGGGCTTTAGGCCACGAAGATCATGTACTACCCAGCTACTGGAGGTGTTTGACAAATGGTCAGAGTTTATTGACTGTGATCACCCAATCGATAATATATACCTAAATTTTAGCAAAGCTTTCGACACTGTGCCTCACAAGAGATTAGGAGCCAAACTTATGTCCTACGGTATAGACGGCAAACTGTGGTTGTGGATCATAGACATCGGTTGATTCAAAGGTCAATACCAGCTATAGACAATAGTGCGTCTCATACAATTCAGCGCAATCAGAGTGGAGAAACGTGGTAAGCGGGGTACCCCAGGGTAGTGTGCTACGTCCAGTGCTATTTCTCATATTCATAAATGACCTGCCAGAAGTTGTAAACAGCTTTATGTTAAAATATTTGCAGATGACACGAAACTGTTCGATGCCGTTTATGACGAGAAACAGTGTGAGCAAATACAAGAGGATTTAGACAAACTGTGTGACTGGTCAGATAAGTGGCAGCTGCGTTTTAAATATAAATACGGAAAAGTGCAAAGTTATGCATATTGGCAAGAACAATCCAATGTATTGCTACACTATGAAGAAGAATATGGGAAACACCATTGTGAAACAGGATATTGAAGAATGTGATCTGGGGGTAACGTTTGATAGCAGCTTGAAATTTGAGAAACAAGTGAGGAAATGTGAGGCAAAGGCAATGGTAGGCTTGATAAAGCACTCATTTGACCATATGTTTCTGTCCCTGTACAAATTCCTAGTCCGTCCGTTAATGGAGTATGCAACGTCACTTTGGTCACCGTACCTGAAGAAGGACATTCGTCTGTTGGAGAATGTACAAAGAAGGGCAACAAAATTAGTATGTGACATACAACACTTGTCGTACAAG